TGTAACTGACCAATAGTCCTAATACAGAGATTTTTCTGCCATGTTCTGGGTTAAATAGGCCTTTGTGGGCTAGCTCAGGAGCCCACGTATGACTCTAAATATTGTTCATTGGAGAAAATATGCTCTGAATATTCCAAACATGCACATATTGGACAGACGATGTGTTTGGAAATTGAAGTCCCATTATACACCAGCCTTTACTGAAATCCAGCAAGAAAATGAGTTCTAGTGAACAAATGGACTAACATGATCTGGTTGGTCAGCCATACATGTTTTCCTCCCCAAATCTGTCTAACTCTCTCCCTGGATGCAATATCCAGTTGCTAAGTAGCCATGCAGGACTTGGTTGGAGGGAACAGGCAGAAAGCTTTTTGAGGCAACATTCCTCAAACAGCCAGGTGCTTCTAGGTGCCTTCCCACTGTGGAGGGGATAGTTAAGAAGAAGGCAGCTCTCTTTTAAAGATGTTGTGGGTGCAGTCTAGCCGGAAGGCAGTTAGCCTTTCCCTAGCCATCTTTAGGGAAGATTCTAGAACATCTCTTATGAACAAAACAGTAAGATGTCATGCTGGTCTTGAGGTCAAAAATTTCTGGTGCTTTCCTGCTAATTTGAAGTATGACCTTGAGTGAATCACTTCATAGGCTCCAGAACTGGAAAGGACCTTTGAGATCGTCAAATTCACCCTTCTTTTTTTTTTTTTTTTAAATATTCACTTTATATTGCATTTTGAGCACTGAATTGTCTTCCTCCCTCCCTCCCAACCCTTCATTAGAAAAGGTCAACATTTGACACAGATACGTGTGTGGAACCATACAATACAAACTTCCATATGTCAGTTCTTTCCTGGAGATGAATAGCATTTTCCACCTTCATAGTTGAGTTGAATGTTCATATTACTCAAAATAGCTTACTCATTCATAGTTACTCTTGAAATAATATTGCTATTACTGTATACTATGTTCTCTTGGTTCTGCTCATTTCACTCTGCATTATTTCATGCAAGTCTTTCCATGTTTTTCTGAAATAAATCAGCTCATCATTTCTTATAGCACAGTAGTATTCCATCACAATCATATACCACAACGTGTTCAGCTATTCCCCAATTGATAGGCATCCCCTCAATTTCCAGTTCTTTGCCACTACAAAGAGAGCTACTATAAATATTTTAGAACATATAGGTTCTTTTCTTTTTTCCCTGATCACCTTGGGAAACAGACCTAATAGAAGTTATTACTGGGTCAGAGGCTATACACAGTTTTATAACTCTTTGGGCATAATTCCAAATTGCTCTCTGAAACAGTTGGATCAGTTGACAGTTCCACCAACAGTGTAGTAGTGTCCCAACTCTTCCACATCCCCTCCAATTTGTCATTTTCCCCTTCTATCATATAGCCAATCTGATAGGAATGGGATGGTATCTCAGAGTTGTTTTAATTTACATTTCTCTAATCAACAATGATTTAGAACATTTTTTAATATAACTATGATTTGATGTCTTTTTCCAAAAACTTCCTGTTCATATCCTTTGGCCATTTACCAATTGGGGAATGACTCATATTCTTACAAATTTGACTCATTTCTTTATGTATTCAAGATAGAAGGCCTTTATCTGAGAAACTGTCTATTCTCCTCCCCCCCCCCGCCCAAATTTTCTGCTTTCCTTCTAAACTTGGCTATATTGGTTTTATTTGTAAAAAACCTTTTTAATTTAATGTAATCAAAATTATCCCTTTTACATCCCACAATGCTTTCTATCTCTTGTTTATTCATAAATTCATCTCCTATCCATAAATCTGATAGGTAATATGTTCCATGCTCTCAACCTCTTCTTTTTAATAGAGAGGGAAATGATGTCTCAGAGAAGGAAAACAATTTGACCAAAGTCATGCATACAGTAAATGGAGCCAAAATTCCACCCCACGTCCCTGCCTTCAAATTCAGTGCCGTCTCTTACGTCATTCTGCTTACTTCCCCTTCCTGAGTCTTGTTTTCTTCTCTGTCTCCAATGAGGGGCTTGACCCTGCCAGCTCTGATGTTCTTTGGGTCCATGTGTGGCTGTTGTTGGATGCTCTGCCTCTGGGCTAGTCTACACTGCCACGGGGTAGTCAGCATGGTGGCAGTGCTAGGGTTGGTCTCAGTCAGAATGGCCTGAGGTTCAGTCATTGCCAGAGAAGGAGTTTCTGGACTGAGTGAGAACCAAGAAGCTCCCATCCATTCAACTCGGGCGGGAAATCCATTAGCAGCTGAGTGTAAGATCACAGAGAGATCTGTTGAAAAGAGGGTTGGGGCTATATCACAACATTAATTAACTCCTGTCTTAAAAGGGACTCACATTAAATCTGTAATGGAGAAACACCAGTGGCACTTTGTCATAGACCAAACAGAGAGTGGCCATAAATTTTGATGAGCATTTGTGTTCCTGTAAGAGGGGGCAGCATGGCATGGGGCTGTACTGGGAGTCAGGAGGCCTGGGTTCTATACCAGGCTCTGCCACTCTCTGTGTGATTCTTGATGAATTATTTTCCTACTCTGGGCCTCACTCCTCTCTACCTGCTCCCTGCTGTACAATGAGGGGTTGGAAGAAAGTGAATTCTGCAGGCCTTTCCACTGTGCTCAGAATCCTTGGTTGGACGGGGGAGCTGCCTCTTCTGCCACACCTGGGAGATGGGCACAGTACTGAGGACATCCTCAGATTGAACAGGCATAGTTGGATGCTGGGTAAAATGAGGATGACCCAAACAACACGCGAGAACTACCATCCCTTGTTTGGAGAAGAAAAACAAAGAGGATTTGAACCTGCTTCCTTTTGGCATGTTCCCTCCCCCATATCCTCCCTACTCCCTTCCCTTCCCTTCCCTTCCTTTCCCTTCCCTCTTCCCTTCCCCCTTCCTTTCCTCCTTCCCTCTTTCCTTCCCCCTTCCCTTCCTTTAGCTTCCCTCTCCCTCTCTTCTCCCTTCCCCTCCCTTATCTTCCGTCTCCCTTCATTGTCCCTTCTCTTCCTTGGAAATGAACTTTAAATCATAGAATTAAAAATTCTTAGAAGTGAAGAGAGGCCAAAATCCCCCTCTTCCCGACATCTCCCAATAGTGTAATGGGATAAGGAGAAAAAAGGAAAAAGCAATATAAAGCAAAGGATTATGGAATAGTGACACAGTATGTTTTCTTCCTTTGCATAGCCATTACTTGGGCCCAGACCGGGGTAGGCAGGAATATCAGGGGACCCCATGGAGTCTCAGCCTGGCCTTTTGGAAATAGATGGGCACAATTTACAAAGCCATTAACAATCATTTGTGTGTCTAGTGGTCACTTTGCTCACTCATCTTAATCAATGCCCGCTTCCAGGTCATTTCTTTCTCTCCTTAGCAGGAGCACATGGATTTGTCAGCTCTGGACTCCAGCCCCCACCAGATGAGGCTCTTGCACCAATTCCCACAATCCATCTGCTAAGCTGCCATTCCTCATGGGCCCTTTCCTCTCTTCCTCTAACTGCAGAGCAGTGATTTGTCATCCTTCCCTCTGGCTCCTAGTTGCCCATGGTGGCTTTACTCTGTTGACTCCCACTCTGTCTCCCATCAATCAGGAGGCTTGCTGAGTGCTGGGAAGGGGACTGTTGCTTGGGGTGGGGCTCAGAGCTTTCCCTGTTGGCCTTCTCTAGATGGAGAGGGGATCCAGGAAACCACACACATTGCTTGAGGTTGGGAGTGTGCTGGCCTGACCCTCCTTGGATTCTTTCTTCCTCCTTCACTTGCCTTGTTTTTATGCTATAAAAAAATTTGCCATGGACAAGAAGTACAAAGTTGAGATGCTGTAGCCCTTGCCTGAACTAGGCCAGATGTTTGCCATGACAGAAGAACTTCCATAGGAGGGGATGCTGGGGAGCTTAGCCTAGTCCCTTTCCCTCTCTGCATCTAAGGGGCCTCCCAACTCTAATATTTTATGATTATGCTAGGGAATACAAATTTGGTTGGAGCAGAAAGAGCACAGGGTTTGGAGTGAGATCAAGCCCTGGCTCTCCTCGTTGACTACCTAGGTGACTTTGGGCCTTGGTTTCCCCATTTGTAAAGTGGTGGGCTTGGGCTGGGTGAGCTGCAAGAGTTCTCTGAGATCATTTGACCAAGTAGTGGTATCAAGAAGCTGACTCAGTTTATCCTGGCAGTTTGGCCCCTCTCATTTTCCATTAGCTTCCTAGCACTCAACCTGGGCTCTTTTCCACTACCATGTTGCTGGGGAGGCTGAGGCCTCACAGTTAGGGATGAGAAACCTTCTGGGCCATGAATCCTCTTGCAGCCACCTCCCCAGGGCTTTGTAGGAAGCCAGGATCACTGAATATGGTCTTTCATTCTTTTTTTAGCCTTGGTTTTTTGATCTTCCAAGGTTTTCTGGGAACCCCATCTCTCAGGCCTACAAGTCGTTACATCCATTTCTCCCCCCTTGCCATTTTCCCAGGCCTGTATTCTTCATTTGAGCAACAACCGATAGCCCTGTATCTTTGCTCTGCTTTGACTAGACTCTGAAGCCTGCCTCCTTTCTATGACCCCCCTAGTGCCTCACCCTCAACTCTTGCAGAGTCTGTAGCTCTGAATGTCCCAAAAGGAATCCCAAAGGGTTTTTAAGGGGTAGTTCTGCAAAATAGTCCAGGCTGGACTTGGAGATTGCCTAATTTCTCCATCATACATTTGGTGCCTGATGCCAGAGGCTGCAACGGTAAACCAGCTTGGGCCCTGGCACCATCATCTGGCTGGAGGGCTATGGAATCCAGAAAACTGCAGTCAGTACTAAGTCAGTGAGATGTCTCCCACATTATCTTTGTGCTGAATGGCAGGAGACATTTCTGTCCCAGGCTGTAGACACAGGGTCATATCAGAGAAAGATGGACAATATTCCTGGAGAAAGTGAGAACTGGGTTTAAGAAATTTCAAAGAAGATGAAGAGAGTGGGCCTGAGTAAAGGCATGGGATTATATCTCCTGTTTACATTTGTTTTTTTTCTTCCAATGCTCTAGGCTATCTCCAAAGCATGGTCCAGATATTCCGGATGACAGTACTGACAACATTACCATCTTTACCAGGATTCTGGACCGTCTGTTGGATGGCTATGACAACCGGCTAAGACCTGGGCTCGGAGGTGAGTCTCTAGGTGGGAATCATGTACCATATTAGTTGCTGTCATCTGCCAAATGCCCTGAGCTGTGCTGTTACAGTAGCATAGGCCATGTTCAGTTAGCATGGTCTCAGTCTTTGGATCTTGGAGACTAGGCCTTTGGTCTATGGTGAGGGTTATGGGAGAAAGTCTTGTGTTGTGCTTAATGGGAGCTTGGGCCTCTTTCTCACTGTTTTCCCCATGAAGCTCTATCCTTAGGTAGCTTTAGTATAGAAATGTGTCACCATTTACCTTTTGGAAGGGCAAACCTCAGCAGCAGTGGCCCGCTGGCCCTGTCTCTCTGCCTGGGCTTGGCAGCTTTCATCAGGAGTGTCCCTCGGGCAGTGGGTCAGGACTTGCAGCCTTCTTGGGTTTCACGTGGGGTATTTCCCCTTTGGAAGTGAGCAACAGTGTTCAGCTCATGGCATATTCCTGCTAACAAAGAACATGATCTTCCCTGGGGAGCTCAGCCTGGCTTTTCCTGGCAGAGGCAGCAGGAGCAGCCAGCAGCAGGGAGAATTGCCTTTACCTCAGAAGCCCTGGGCACTGTTCAGTTTGAAACTCAAAACGTGAGTAATTCACTGGCTGAGCTTCCTCAGTTTCTAGTCTAGAAACACTCTGCAGGATTGGTATTTTGTGTACTGATAGGAGAGGGGATGGCGGCAGCTGGGCACCTTGCGTGCAGGGCTTCTTTATGTTGCCTGGGTGGCCTGAGAAGATTTGTCTATACCTATTTTCTAGAGTGGGAAGTGACCTAGGCATGGCTTATGTGCTTCTCTGGTCACTCACCTCTTGGGGCTGATTGGTTCTAGACCTTTGGTTAAGTGAGTTTCCTCACAAATTGGGGCTTATGGGCAAAGGCATGGAGGCAATTTAACTAACATTTATTAAATACCTACTATACGGCAGGCCCTGTGGATATAAAAAGTCATCCTAGCTTTGTTACCGAGTCATCATAGCTACGTTGTCGAAGGGTTAGAATTGGAAGGCACCTGAAAGGTCATCTAGGGCCTGTCTTCAATGAGCTTGTTTCACTGGGGGTTACTTCTAGAATATGCATGCAGATGAGTAAATGCAATGTTGTTTGAGGAAAGACAGAGGACTGACAAGAAGTATTATTAAGACAGGATTTTGATAGGGTTTTTTTTTTGTTTTGTTTTTTGGTTAGACAATGGGGTTAAGTGACTTGCCCAGGGTCACACAGCTAGTAAGTGTTATGTGTCTGAGGCCGGATTTGAACTCAGGTCCTCCTGAATCCAGGGCCGGTGCTGAATCTACTGTGCCACCTAGCTGCCCCCAAGACAGGATTTTGAACACAGGTCCTCTGACAGCATTTTTTCCACTCTACTTCTTACTAAAAAGCTTCAGTCCCCCCATGATTCTCCAAATCCAGATCTGGGAGGACTGAGCATAGGAGATGTGCCCTGCTCTGTGCCTCTTGGGCCTAGAGGAAAGGGTTAAGGCATCAGGCTAGCCCATCCGTCCACTGGGTTTATCACTTTCTTCCAGAATTAACCACAATCCCACTAATAGCCTTGCTTCCTTGCATTTCTCTGATGAGTGGATCAATACAGGACAAATCCAGCTGAAAGGGGAGCTGGGGGACATTTGGGCCCTGTCAGGACTCCGTAGCAAATACAGCTCTTTGGAAGCTATTAATAAGAGTGGTGGAGGGCCTCTGGAGATCTCTTTGAGGCCCCTGATTCAATGACTCCCTCGAGCCTTTTCTTTGTAAGATTTAAAACCCTTCCTCAAGCCATTTTGGTAGCCTGGAATGCAATGGATGCCCTTGTCTGGATAACCAAACAAAGGCCTTTTCCCACCAGAACCAGATCAAACAGATCCTGTATGTGCCAAAGTTACTGGGTTCAAAGAAGGGGAGAGGGGGGACCTTGGGGAAGTTGGGCTGCTAAGACATTGTATCTGGTTCAAGGGATCTCCAAGGGAAAGAACCTTGCCTCTGCTTTCAGAGGACCTGGGTCCAAATCTTGGCTCTACCTGTGTAACCTTGGATAAATCATTGGATCTCTGTGGGCCTCAGATTTCTTTTGTGGAAAATGAGGAAATTGGATGAGATGAATTTGGAGGTCCCTTCCAGGTTTCAATCTGTGCTCTAGGCCAGGCAAAATGATGTTCTTCAGCCAGGATGAAACTCAAGGACCATCTCCTCCTTTCTCTGATCTTGATTCTCCCCGCTAACAGAAAGCGAGCTCCTCTTCAAATCAGCTTAGCATGCTTTGCTCTGTCTCACTCTGCCTCATAGTATCCTTAGCTGTCTATACACTGGATCCTTTCTATTGGATCACAAGTTTTCTGAGGGCAGAGATCAAGCCTTTTCTCTGGAGCTCAGAGCCCGGCACTTAGGGAATGTTTGGTCAGTTGGACTTAATTGCCAGTCTATGGGCTGGCACCCAGAGGGCCTGAAAGAGCTAATTCATCTTCCTCTGCAGCGTCATGGAACCCTCTAGCCGGGAATAACTGCCTTTAGTAAGAGGCTCTGGCTCACTGAGCATATCATCCTTGTCACGGCTTCTGATTCTAGTGGGTGTCTGGGCAAATTGGCGGCCTGGGCAGGAATCAGCAGACATGTCAGACTGGGATTGGGCCCCAGGTGCTGCCTTTTTACATACAAAATCAGGAGTCTTCTGGACAAGAACAAAGCATCAATGAACCGGGTTGGGGAAAGATCATTTCCTAAGCATTATTCAGGCAGAGGGCAAGGGATTAGAGCATCGAACTTTCCAGTCCAGTTATTTTAGGTTGCCTTCTTTGTAATGGGGAGGGGCATCATGGTAGGGACCATTATCCCCATTTTACAGATGAGGAAACTGAGGCTTAGAGGAGAGAAGCTTTTAGTAAGGGGCAGAAGTGGGGCTAGAATCTGGGTCAGGTCATCTTATTTTCAGCTCAGTATTCTGTGGATGAGACAGCTCAGGACTGAAGTTCCTAGGGGGATTCCAATCAGATTCATGGCCAACGAGACAACTAGAATGGGTTGGACCCACAAAAGAAATGGCCCAGAACCCCAAGTGAGTTGGTAGAGTTCGGTGGGAAAGAAGGATTCTAACAAGAACAGAGTAAGTGGCCAGAGTGGGATTGTGGCTAGGAATTTTGAGGGGCAGGTCACCTGGGTTCCTTGCCCCCATGCTATGATCTGGAAGTCACTCTGGTCGGCTCATTCCTGCTCCTTGGATAGAAGGCCAGATTAAAAATAACTCCTATTTCCCAAGTGCTTTAAGGCTTACAAAGCACTTTCCTTGACACAAGCCCATAAAGTGGGAAGGCCAAGGAGTATTAGCCTCATCTTAGAGATGAGGAAACTGAGACTCAGGAAAAGGGAATGACATGTTCCCATGGTCCCATAGGTAAACAAATTTCAGAGACAGGATTCAAACCCAAGCCTCCTGACTCCAAGTACAGTGTTCTTCCCATCACACTAAGATGTCTAATCTCTGCTGGGGTACCATCACTCCTCTCAGCCTCACTGCATATTATCAGGTCCCCTATTTGCCTTCTCTGCAGATTTGAGGGCAATTAAATGAAGCTGGCTCAATGGATGCTGAAAAGGAATGGGGTAGGTGGGAGAAACCTAGAGTTGGTGTCTTCTTGTCACTTGTATTCAGGGTGATGAAGCCTTTGCCTTTGAGAAGAAGGCCAGAATGCAGATGTCAGGCAGATTGCTGACGATGGCAGGCTGGGGTCATCTAAGCAGATGGCTCATTCCTCCAAAGAGAGTGCTGAACAATACGCAACCATTCCTGAGCTGGTTGGGAAGGGAAGCTAGGGGAATAGCGTTGGACACTCAGCTGGAGTGGGGGCCTTGTGTTAGGGGGCAGATGAGCTCTGGGCTCCTGGAAGGCAGAAAGAATTGATCTGGGATCTTCATAAGAGAAAGGTTAGTAGAGAATGGAATAAGAGCCAGTCTCTTCCTTCTCCAATCCATCTTTTACATGGCCACCAAAGTGATATCTTTAAAACCCAGATCTGACCACATTACCCCCTTACTCAAAAATCTTCAGTGGCTCCCTATTGCCCCAGGATAAAATATAAAATCCTAAGTTTGACTTTTAAAGCCCTCCACAATCTGATTCCCATCTGTATTTCCAGTCTTGTTTTATTTTATTTCCCTGTATTCCTTCCCATTCCAGTCCCATGGCCTGCTTGCTGTTCTTTGTGCACAATGTTCAATTTCCTACCTCCTTGCCTTTGCACAGCTGGCCTCTCCCCATGCCTGGAATGCACTCCCTCCTCACCTCTGTCTTGTAAAATCCCTACCTTCCTCCAAATCACGACACAGATGCCACCTCCTATACAAGGCTTTTCCTGATTCCCCCCAGTTATTAGCTAGCTCATTCCCTCTTGAAATTACTGTGTGTTGCTTTACAACACAAATTTACATTTACTTACTTGTGTGTAGGTAAATACTATAGAATGTAAACTCCCTGAAGGCAGAGGCTTTTTATTTTGTTCTTTTCACTATGCAACTTGCACATAGTAGGTGGATAATAAATGTTTGCTGATCATTTTGCTGAAGGAGATTTACAGAAAAGTAGGGACATGGGACTTGGTGAAGAAGCTCTGACAACACCTGATCACATGGGGACTCTCTGTAACTGGTCAACTAGCTACTGTTGGGTTGCCATAGGCAATAATTTACCACCGAAGCCCACAATAAGTAGTCCTTCAGTTTCTGCTTGACTGCCTCCAAGGAAGAGGAACCCATCGCCCACAAAAGCAACCTGATTCATGTTTTGACCATTCTAATCATCAGAAAGTTTTTCTTGATTCCTAGCTGAAATTGGAATCTCAGCAGCTTCCACCCAGTGTTCCTGGCTGTGCCCCCCGAGACCAAAAAGAACAAGGCCAACCCTTCATGTGACATCCCTTCAAATATTTGAAGACACTTTCATGCCATTCCCTGAGTCTCCCCTTCTCTCCATTAAACACGCATCGGTCCTTCGTGTCTTCCTCTTGTGTCATGCGCT